TAAGACTCAACCGAGAGCGGCAAATGCACCGCACGCTTAATTCACAAAAGATGAAGACCACCATGACGCAACGTCTGAACCCAAAATTGGATCATGTAGAAGTCGAGCTGGTCCTAATTATAGGGAGCTGGTTTCAGAACGCGGAGAACAATCAATACGGGCACCGTGAAGACTATGTCGAACACCAGGTGCTGGCGTCAGTGCTGGTGTATGCGCTGGCGCTAGTGCCGGCGTAGGCGCAGACGTTGGGGCTGGCGTCGGTGCTGGTGTAGGCGCTGGCGTCGGCGCCGTCGTAGGCGCTGGCGTTGGGGCTGGCGCCGGTGCTGGCGTCGGTGCTGGTGTAGGCGCTGGCGCTAGTGCCGGCGTAGGCGCATGCGTTGGTGCTGGCGTCGGTACTGGTGTAGGCGTTGGCGTCGGCGCTGGCATAGGCGCCGGCGGGGTGCTGGCGTCGGTGCTGGCGTCGGTGCCGGTGTAGGCGCTGTCGTTGTAAGCGTCACACTGGAGGGATCAGCTGTACGCCTCGCTGTTGAAAAAGGGCCGCATCAGCGGCAGCGCGTAAGCCACTCAGGCGTTCTGTAAAACCATCGTTGACGATGCACATGGTGTAGCTCACGGGGAGGACGTTTCCTGCGCCTCAGAGGCATGCATTCTTATGGGCTCAGGTCCCATGGCAAAGTATGTCTCAAGGACGTGCTACTGGCCGACTCGCGGCCCTGGGAAGCACCGTCTCGCCTCCGCAACTGCGTTCACCCCCGGCATGCTTCCCAACAGTTGCATCAACGGCGCCGGTGACCTGGCAGGGTCACCCGCCTCCCAGGTACTCAGCCCGACGCCATGGAGGCCGTTGCCGTGGCCCGGTGGCGCCCGCGGCGCCGCCCGCCGCGCCCCGCGGCCGCCCGCACGGCCCACTACCTCCGGGCGGAGGCGCGGGTCGCGGAGCACTTGCTGCGCTGCATCGGGGAGCTGGAGCAGCACCGAGGCAGGTAGCCCACGCGGCTGGCCACGGCCTTGGTAAAGGCGCTGGCCGAGCGCGCGGACCCAGCGGCGACGGCCCTGGCGAGCGCGAGCCGCCGTCCGAGGCGCACGCGGAGGCGCTGGCCCAAGAAGCGCTGGCGGCCGCCCGCGTGCCATGACCAGGGCACGACATGCTGGAACGGCTGAGGCAGGAGGCCCGTGCCGAGCGGCAGGCGGAGGCCGCGCGCGGCGCGGACGGCACGGCGGGGGCCGAGCTCAGGCCCGAGGCGCTGGCCGAGCAGCAGGCCGCGACTGCCGAGGCGCTGGCGGCCGCTCGCGCCGCGGGGCTGGAGCAGCACCTGGAGTCCGAGCAACTGGCGGAGGCAGCGCAGGGCGCCGAGACCGAAGCCTCGCGCCCGATGGAGGCGGAGCACACGGCCGCCGAGGCCGCGCCCCTCGGGAGCCTGCTACGAGCGGCCAGCGCCGCGGAGCGGGCCAGACCAGAAGACGCCGCGCTGGCGACCCGAGCCCGCGCCTCGGGGGGAGCGACCAGGGGCGCCAGCGGCGGACAAGCGCCGACCTACCAGGAGCTGCACTCCACGGGACAGCTGGCGAGGCTGCAGGCCGCCGAGCAGCGGGCCACAGGGCGGCGGCGCCGAGCAACGCCGCTGGCCAAGGCGCGCGCCCCCCGGGCCCGAACGCCGCCGACCGCCGACGGCGAGGAGGCGCCCGCGCGCGGCGGGCCGAAGGCCAAGCGGCTGGCTGACGCGCGGCGCCGCGCCGCAGACGCCCGCGCGCAGCTGGCCGCGGCGCAGGCGGACGCCCTCGCAACGGAGGCCGCGGCGCGGACGGCGCAGGACGCGCTGCTGCGGGCGGCGGCCGCGCGCCAGCGGGCAGCTGAGGCCGCGAAGGAGGCCGCGCTCCAGCAGGCGGCGGGCGCGCGCCAGGAGGCGGAGCACGACGCGGGCGCGGAGGGGCAGGGCGGGAGGGCGGGCACGAGCGCTACCGAGCACGACGGTCAGCAGCACGACAGTGACCAGCACGACGAGCAGCAGCACCACAACGTCCAGTACGACGAGACAACTGGGATGGATGATTCACTTACCGCCGCTTCCCTTGGAAGGCATGTCGTGCGGGGCGCTCGGGGCTCACGCCCCGAGGGCGCCGCGCGGGGTAGTAAGGATCTCGGGGGCGGAACGTGGACACCGCGAAGGGCGCGCTCGTCACCCTTGCTCCACTCGCCTCCGCAAGACGCGAGTGGAGAGGAGGTGGGCCCAGGGCCGCGACCTCCCGAGAGCAGGCCGCCGCGGCGATGGCGGCAGGCGCGGCGGGGTCGCCGCGCGACTCGCGGGGAGCGAGCGGCGAAACAGCTGAAACAGCCCCTCCTCCTCCTCCTCCTCCTCCGCCTCCTCCTCCTCCTCCTCCTCCTCCTCCTCCTCCTCCTCCTCCTCCTCCTCCTCCTCCTCCTCCCCCTCCTCCCCCTCCTCCTCCTTCTCCTCCTCCTCCTCCTCGTCCTCCTCCTGCGCCTTGGCCTGGCCCCTCGCCTCGGGGGCACAGAGGCCGCGTTCATTCGCGTCCAGCTCCGGCACTCTGGCCGTGCCCTCCGTCAGGTCAGGGCTGTTTGCTGGCGGGGATGCTGGCGTCGGTGCTCCCGGCTGCGTTGGCGAGGATGCTGTCGTCGGCGCCCCGGGCTGCGTTGGCGATGACGTTGGCGCCGGTATTCTCGATATGCTGGCGAGGATGCCGGCGCCTGTTTTGGGCTATGCTGGAGAGGATGCTGGCGTCGGTGCTTCCGGCAATGATGGCGCAGACGCCGGCGTCGGTGTTCCGCGCTGTGCTGGCGAGGATGCTGGCGAAGTTGCTGTCATCAGTGCTCCTGTCCTCCGTGGCGAAGATGCTGGCATCGGTGCTCCCAGCATGGCAGGCGAAGATTCTGGCGTCATTGATCCGCGCGGTGCTAGAGAGGGTGCTGGCGCCAGTGATCCGCGCCGCGATGGCGAAGGTGCTGGCGCCGATGCTCCTGGCAATGCTGACAAGAATGCTTGCTTCGGTGATACGCACTGTGCTGGCAAGGGTGCCGGCGTCGTTGATCCCCGCGGTGCTGGCGAGGATGCTGGTGTCGGTGATCCGCACTGCGCTGGCGAGGACGCTGGCGTCGGTGAGCTGACGAGGATGCTGGCGTCGGAGCTCCTAACCAGGGTGGCCAGGATGCTGGCGTGGGTGTTCCTGGACGTGCGGGCGAAGATGCTGACTTCGGTTCTCCCGGCTGTGCTGGCGATGATCCGTGCGTTGGTGATCCGCGCTGTGCTGGCGAAGATATTGATGTTGGTGCTCCCAGGTGAGTTGAGGATGCTGGCATCGTTGCTCCCCGCTGCGCAGTCGACAATACTGGCCTCGGTGGTCCGCACTGTGCTAGCAAGGATGGCGGCGTCGTTGATCCGCACTGTGCTGTCGAGGATGCTGGTGTCGGTGATCCGCACTGTGCTGGCGAGGATGCTGGCGTCGGTGATCCGCAGTGCACTGGCGAGGATGCTGGCGTCGGTGTTCCCAACCAGGGCGGCCGACTGAGCTGACCAGGACGCTGGCGTGGGTGCTCCCGGTTGTGCGGGCGAAGATGCTGGCTTCGGTATTCCCGGCTGTGCCGGCGATGATCCAGGCGTTGGTGATCCGCGCTGTGCTGGCGAAGATGCTTTCGTCGGTGCTCCCAGCTTGGCCGAGGATGATCGCATCGGTGCTCCCGGCTGAGCTGTCGACGATGCTGGCGTCGATGTTTCGCATTCTGCTGGCCGAGATGTTGACGTCGGTGATCCGCGCTGCGATGCTGGCGTGGGTGCTCGCGACTGAGCTGGCTAGGACTGCTGGCATGGGTGTCCACGGCTGTGCTGGCAAGTGTTCTGACGTCGGTGCTCCCGGCTGTGTTGCGGCTGATCCTGGCGCTTGTGATCCGCATTGTGCTGGCGAAGATGCTGGCATTGGAGTTCCAGGTTGTCCTGGCGAGATAGCTGGCGTCGGTGCCCATGGCTGTGCTTGCGAGAATGCTGGCGTCGGTGCTCCGCAGTGTGCTGGCGAGGTCCCTCTCGCTGGCGCCTTCCCGTCGAGGCGAGTCAGCGGCGCCCAGACCGCTGACTGCCGCCGCCGCCTCCGGCAGGCTGCCAGCAGCGTCAACGGCAGCAGCGGCAGCAGTATCCGCGGCGGCGTAGCTGACGGCGCCCTCCGGGGCGGCAGAGCGCCGGCAGCAGCAACAGCGGCAGCCGCCGGGGCCGCCCGCGCCAGCGCCGAAAGCGGAAGCGCCGCGAGGCCGCCGCCGGCCACCGGCAGAGGCGGCCGGTAGTCGCGGCGGCATCCGCACCAGGCACCAGGCCAGCCGCCAGCCGCCGCGGGGGCCGCCACCGCCAAGCCTGGCGGCCTGGCGCGGGCGGCGGTGGCCAGGCGTTGGCGCCGTCGCAAGGCAGCGCCGCCAGCAGCCATCACTGCTGGGACGGGGCCTGGTGCGCATCTGACGCGAGAGAGTCGTGCTGTGTGACCAGGGCCATTTCGCTTCTTGAGCGAAGGCTTGAGCCAGAACGGCTGCGGGCCCGCTTCTGGGGCAAGGTACCCTTAGAACGGGATCGGGGATGCAAACGTAACACTGGGGAAGGGGTCGGGTGTCTGGTTAAGATGCAACTCTTGGGAGGGTTCATTCAGCATCGGCGTTGGTTGGATAACCAGCCGGATTCGGTCGGATACCGTCTTATTCCGCCTAATCCTGGTTTAATAGTTCGCAATCGTTCTTGAGAGTACCTGCCAGAAGTGGCCTCCTGACCCCCTCTCCCCCTCTTTGCCTTCGCGTGCTTCACGCTCGAGTGCGCCTCTGCCCAAGCTGAATTCGAGGGCATGTGTTGACAGTCCATCTGTGCCCCTTGACAATTTGTATTAGTGACCCCTCTTCTCTCCTCCACGCCAGAGGACGTTCTCGAATGATCCCTTGCGGAGCCCCAAGCCCCCGAAACATAGATTCCCGTTCCTCCGGCCGCTCCTCCTGCCGCTCCCCCCCCCTCCCCCCAAAGGCTTCGTCCTCCCCGGAGGTGGAAGACCTCGAGCCCGACGAGATCCGCAGGGCGACCCACGGCGCGGGGCGGTGGATGGGGGATGAGGAGGGAGAGGAGGAGGAGGAGGAGGAGGAGGAGGAGGAGGAGGAGGAGGAGGAGGAGGAGGAGGAGGAGGAGGAGGAGGA